TAGAAAATATTTTGGTAATGCTATGAATATATATATAATAAATTTTAAATGTTAAGATAGAGGAATCTGTAAGTGTGAAGATGCCCAAACCATGACATGAACTGGACTTTCTGCTATCATTGTATACACATTTATACTCTTCAAATACTCTATACACATTATGAGTATTATATTACAGTATTAGATAATCAAAGTTAATATTATTTCATAATCAAAGATCATTTAGACTATTTATTAAACTAAAGTTGAAGGTTAATTATCATATCCTAAACAATGTATTTGTATTGATTTTCAGCTACCGATCATGCTGATTATTCATCTGAGCAGGTTGCAAATCAAGGTTAGAGTACAATTTCAGATTCTAATTATTATTTTTATCAATTTATTGATTTGTTTGCCTGCCATCATTGCTTCTTTCACCTCATGAATGTGAAATCAGAAGACTGATTATGATTTCAACAGTAAATCATCCAACTGACATAAATATAACCACATTTAAATTGCATCTCATAAAGATCAATTAGGCCATTTATTAAAATAAAGTTGATGGTTAATTACAGTATTTAAAGTTAATGTAGTTAAAGTGATATGTTAACATTGTATAGAGGTACGATTTCTGTGCTTCTAAGGGTAATTTTCTTTATAAGTTCCCCACTCTATGTGTCGGGAAAAGGTAAATTTTCATTAGAGGTTAAAAAAATATAGGTCTAATCTAAGTTATTCGTGTTAACTTTTCATCAATGATGGATACCTTCATGATGCTTGGGATAATACATTGTGAATATGGAAGCAATTTTGACTTCCACTGTGTTTTGGCATTACAACAATTATGAAATCATGTTAGAGTAGCTTGATGCCTATAAAATAACTAATAGAATTCATTGAATGTTATGAAATGAGCCCTCTACTTTCTAAAACGTTTGCCACTATTTGATTTGTCAACCTAACTGTAAGCATGTGGATATTTGCAGTGTGTCAGTTGTCATCTCTTAAGATATTGAGATTCTCTTTTTACTTAGGGCCATTTTTAGTAATGATATCGATCCAACATTCTACTTTTACAAAATGCAGATATAATTGATATGTTAAATTATAAATTATTTAATTTCAAAGGATTGACGGAAAATCAATTCAACTTTCTTAAACTGGATGTCTCACAGTGGTATGATGCCCACAGTTGTCTTCCTATGTTGAAAGTGTTGTTCAGAGACCATGTGACAACTGGGAGACTATCAGAAATTAGTAGCACAATGGAGTTGCTGAATCACTTGGTTGTACTTGATCATTTGAATGCAAACAAAATTGCTATTCTGCATGATACCATCAGCATAACTAAACATTTGGGTGTTCAAAGGAAGATTAAAGAAAGACTATCATCATTTTCGGATGTTAAGGAAGGAACCACTCTGAAACATTTCACAAATCACAGACAAAATGTAATGAAATTTGGGATGAAACTGACTCCAGATGCTGTGAAAAAAATTGGTGGATTTTATAATAAGAAGTATACTGATCGTTGGAGTATGATCACTGATCTTGAAAACATGAATCAAATCTTTGATGGAGATATGAAGGATTTCATTGAATTATTGAAAAGTCTTAAACTCCATCGTGCATTGAATGCACTATTAGAAGGTATTCCTCACTTTTTTAAGGAGAACAGGTGGTTGTCTAAGTTCGATACGATTTAGAAAATCGTATGTTC